ATCCTCCTGCCCAGCCTCCTTCCCCTCGCATAACAGCCAACGTAGCTTTGATGCCGAAAATGTATCCTTTCCTTTTTCAGTTTTTTTTGTTTTCAGTATTAGTGATGGAAGCCATAGGCTGCTGAGCTACACCCCTGACTTTTTTTTTTTTTTTTGAGAAAGGGTCTTACTAAATTGCTCAAACTGGGCTTGAATTTGCTATCCTCCTGTCAGTTCTTCACTGCTCAGTGCCCATGTCACAAGTGAGAGCCTCAGTGACTTCATCTGTCACATTCAGCATCCAGTCCCCAGTGCCCCGCATGGCACCTTGGGCTAGTGGACCCGTAGCGAGAGGTGAATCCTGAGTGAGAACGAATGAGGAGGTTTCCAGCAGCCTGCTGGGGAAGGAGGAAAGTGGGCTGGCTATGAGCCCGAGCCCAGGGAGGAGTTTGCCTCCCAGCCTGAGAGAGACAGAGGGTCTCAGGAAGGGGTACTCACTGCTGTGCCTTACCAGGAGTATTTATTTATTTACTTATGTATATGTACCAGGAATTGAACTCAGGACCTTGTGCTGGCCAGGCAGGCACTGCGCCAATAGGAGCCCTCATTTAGATCCCTGAGCCAAGGCTCGGCTACTTGGCTACATTTCACTACAAAATGGAGTTATTAGGGAAATATCTGTTAAGTAATATCAATCTAGATCACTAAGGCTGAGTACACTGGTATGTGCCTACAGTCTCAGCTACTCAAAAGGCTGAGGTGGGAGGATTGCTTGAGCCCAGGGGTTTGAGATCAGTTTTAGCAACATAGTGAAACCCTATCGCAACAACAACAACAACAACAGCAACACCTCTCATACATTCTCACCTCTGAGCTCAACTAAACATTGAAGGAGAAGGATCACAGCTGAGGATATAGTTTAGCAGCACAAGCGCCTGCCCGGCAAGTGTAAGGTTTTATTCCCGGTACCAGAAAAAAAAAAAAAAAAGAGGAGGATCAGGAAGAGAAGGAAGAGGAGGAGGGGGAGGAAGAGGAGGGTGGGAGGAGAAAAAGAAATCATTTCTAGGACAATTAAAGATATAGTTCAGATCTGAAGAATGAATAAATCCCCCAAATCCATTCTCAAAGGGTAAGCTGGCCTCATCAATCACATAGGAACCCTCACAAAGAATCAACAACTTGGATCTCATCTTATTAAAAAGCTCTTGCACAGAAAGAGAAACCACCAACAGAGTGAAGAGTCAACCCACAATGTGGTAATATTTGCCAGCTGTTCCTCAGACAAAGGATTACTATGGAGAACATATAAAGAACTCAAAAAAATCAGACCCCTCACATTTAAAGACCCAATCCAAAAATGGGCATCTGAGATGAATACACACTTCTCAGATGAAGGAATGCAAACAGCAAATAAATATATGAAAAAATGTTCAAAATCACTGGTTATTTGAGAGATGCAAATTAAAACAACACCGAAATTCCACCTCAGCTCAGAAAGAATGGCTATCATCAAGAAATCAAGGCCGGGTGTGGTGGTGCACACCTGTAATTCCAGCACTCTGGAAGCTGAGGCAGGAGGATCATTGTGAGTTCGAGACCAGCCTGGGCTTCAAGGTGAGCTCAAAGCCAACCTGAACGGCATAGTGAGACCCTGTCTCAAAAAGACAAAAAAGAAATTAATCAATAACAAATGCTGGCAGGGACACGGGGAAAGGTACACTTCTTCACTGTTGGTGGGAATGTAGACTGGTGCAACCACTGTGAAAATCAGTGTGGAGATTCCTCAAAAAACTAAAATTGAGAGCTGGGCGTGGTGGCACACGCCTGTAATCCCAGCACTCGGAAGGCTGAGGCAGGAGGAATGTTGTGAGTTTGAGACCAGCATGGGCTACAAAGTGAGCTCAAGGCCAGCCTGAACTGCATAGTGAGACCCTATCTGAAAAAGACCAAGAAAACCCACTAAGATTGGTGGTCCCATTTGACTCAATTATTCCCTTCCTGAGTATCTTCCCAGAAGAATTAAAAGTATCATAACACAGCAATATATGCATACCTATGTTTATAGTGGCACAGTTTGTAATAGCTGAATCTTGGAAAAAACCCAAGTGCCAATTAACTGGTAAACAGATAAAGAAATTGTGGCTTTTTTGTTTTGTTTTGTTTGTTTTTTTTCCGGTACCGGGAATCGAATTCATGACCTTGCGCTTGTCAGGCAGACGCTGTGCCACTGAGCTAAATCCCCAGCCCAATGTGTTTTTTCATACGATGAAATACTACTCTTCCATAAAGAAGAAGACATTTTGCTCAAGACGCTTCTAGGAAAATGGATGCACCTTGAGTCCATACTCCTAAGTGAAATACATCGGACACACATGCATAACCCCATTGTTTCTATGGTGTGAGAAACCAAAAGTATAAATAATGACCAAAATGTATAACAGGCATTGTGACAGAGGAAGAAAGTATTCAAATGGGGAGGGGAATCAAATAGAGGGGACAGGGAAAGCAAAGAAGGGAAAAGTAAAAAAAAAAAAAAGAAAAGAAAACAGTGAAAACATGCAACAAAGCTTTTTTTTTTTTTTGGTGTTTTTTGTGCTGCAAGTTTCTTTTCTTTTCTTTGCCTTTTTTTGGTTTGTTATTTTTTTTTTGGTCTTTCTGAGACAGGGTCTCCCTATGCAGTTCAGGCTGGCCTTGAGCTTACTTTGTAAGGCTGGTTTCAAATGCACAATGATCCTCCTACCTCAACCTCCCAAGTGCTGGGATTACAGACACGCGCCACCATGCCTGGCTATGTGCTGTAAAAGTAATCAGGGTAAAACTGCTACCTTAGCACAAATAGAGGCAGAGGCATCAAAGCATGAATCTTTCCCTGCCAGGCACTTGCAATAAAAAAATGAAAAAAAATTAATGCCAGTTTTACTGAAGAATGCCCTTAATGAAACAGTAAATATTAATTCATTAAATCACAGTCCTTGAGTACAATGTTTTATGGAGCAGGGCATGGTGGCACACATTGTAATCCCAGCACTTGGGAGGCTGAGGCAGGAGGATCCTTGTGAGTTTGAGGCCGGCTGGGCTACATAAGTGAGTTCAAGGCCACCCTGAACTGCAGAGTGAGATTCTGTCTCAAAAAGACAAAAACGGAGGTATGATAGACACTGTGAAATGATAGGAAACCACCGAAGAGTAAAGGGCTTCTGGGATGTGGGAAAAGAGAAGTGAAAGAAGGAGAAATTTTGTATGTATGTATATACAGGATAGATAACATGGTTGTTCTTCTATCTGCTGTTTCTATGCTGAAAGAAACTGTCAATG